CTCCGCCGTCAAATCTCACTCGACTATATTACAACGGCTCCACCGCCAAATCTCACTCGACTACTACACAATACCGCCAGCTACGCAGGCTAGTAACCCCCTGTAACCCTCTGTAACTCCTTGTGACCCCCTGTAAGCTCTTGTAACCCTCTGTATCCCCTTGTAACCCCTTGTAATCCCCTGTAATCCCTTGTAACCCCGTGTGACCCCCCGTAAGCCCTTGTAACCCCCTGTAATCCCCTTTAATCCCCTGTAACCCCTTGTAACCCCCTGTAACCCCTTGTAGGCCCTTGTAACCCCTTGTAATAGTAATAGTAATAAATTGCTTTATTTGCATGACAGCATCATTTTACAGTATTGCAAAAGCATGCATATGACAATCAAAATAATTAGAACAAACGGCACTAATAATAATCTAGAAAAATTCAGTTACATTATTAACAATGAATCACGTATTCTCATACAGGTTCTTTTGTTGTTTGATCTAATTATTGAGTGAGGGAAAGAGTTCCACAATTTCAGTCCTTGGTATAATATTGTAAATTTTTTTGTTTGTTCTGCGGGTATGATGACATTATGACTCGGCATACCTAGTAGAATAATTATGGTTTTACTTCCAGTTTAAAATAAGTTTTGAAAAGGGAGAGGTAACATTTCGTGGTGGTACAAGGACGTGAAGGATCCGACTTAGAATGAAAGCAAACCATAAATTTAAAAAATGCCAAGTTTTTGAATCAGAGGTTTACCAGGGGCCCTATGATCTGCAGCACAGATTGTTCGAACAATTCTTTTCTGTAACAAGTACATTCTGTTAATGTTCGTAGGGTATGTAGAACTCCATACTACGTTACGATATGTGAGATATGGATAGACTAGAGAAAAATACAGTGGGAGAAGCGATTTCCTAGTTACATAGAACCATGCTTAATGCAACATTCCTATTGTTTTTAAAATTTTTGTGCAGACGAAGTTAATATGCGTTTTCCATGCAAGATTCTGATGAATGTTAACGCCTAAATATTTAATGTGTTCTACTTCCTCGCTAACTATGTTATCAATTTTCAGAGGACTTGTTGCTAGTGGTTTCTTTTGTTTAGGTCTAAAAATCATAATCCTGGTTTGTGGTCAGTTTGTTAGCTTTTAACCAAGTCACAACATGACAAATTTCATCGTTTAAGTATTCCATGAGAGTTTTATAATTGCAGTTTCGATAAAAAATACTAGTATTATCAGCGAAGAGTAAAAATTCTATATCTCTTATGCTTTTGGGAGGATCGTTTATATATAAAATGAAGAACAATGGGCCTAAAATGGATCCCTGGGGGAATCCACTTTGGACAACTAACATTTTACGTAATTAAGTGCTATACCTCCGAGACCATAAACAGTATACCATTCTGTAAACCATGACATCCACTCCTCTAAAATGAAATTCAGCTTTGCATAGTTATCCCTTGTAACCCTCTTTAAGGCCTTGTAACCCCCTGTAACAACCGGAACCCCTTGTAACCGCCTGTAACCCCTTGTAACCTCCTGTAATTCCTTGTAATCCTCTGCAACCCCTTGTAATCCCCTGTAACCCTCTGTATCCCCTTGTAAACCCCTGTAACCATTTGTAACCCCCTGTAACCCTCTGTATTCCCTTGTAACCCCCTGTAATCCCCGTAACTTCCTTTAACCCCTTGTAACCCCATGTAACCCCTGTAAACCGTTGTAATCCCCTGTAACCTTTGTTAACCTTTGTTACCCTCAGGTGTAACTCTTTGTAACCCCTGTTACCCAACTTTGTAACCTCCTTTTACTCCTTGTTATCTTGCATAATTCCTTGTAACTCCTGGTAACCCACTGCAACCCCTTTTATTCCTATTTTTGTTCAAAGAGAGAGATTTTGTAAGGGTACTAGTGAAATATTAAATGGACAGTGTCAGGGATGGTTTCAGGAACACTTCAGTTGAAAACAGAGATGTGCTATAATGAACGAAACCAAGTAACACAACCACCCAGGGTTCACTTAAACAATCTGGTCATGTTAACCAGGTAGCTGAATTAACCTGGTTTCAGTTAAGAAAAAGACTATGATGTTTGAGCGAACCGTTAGGGGGCGGCCGTATTTCAAGCAAGTTTAGGTTGAAAATACACTTTAACAGTAGTTTAGCCTTCAGTTTTTAATAGATACAAAAATTAATGTAAAAGTAACAGCACAATCATCACCCTCTGTGATCCCTACCATTTCTAGCCTCTGGACAGTCTCTCTAGCGAAGGATGGGGCGAATCAACGAGAAAGGGTAAGTTAAGAAGTAAAACATTCCCGTCTCTTTCCTTCATTCTCTCCACTTTTTCCCTTAGCCTGCTTTGCTCTTCTCGTCCCATCAGGAAGGCCTGTTCACTCCACAGCGGTCAAACGTCTAAGTTATTATTTTGTTTTAATTGCTGGGATTTCATTTACCAGTAAGTGAAAAAAATAGGCAAAGATGTATCAATCAGTTCGTTAAGTTACCTATCTTTTCATTTTTCTCAAAATTTTTGAGTTTTTTTGAAAACGCTTCTCGCTAAAAGAAAATGATGCTGGAAATTGACAGAGACAATAACATCGGCTTCAGTTGTCAAGCATTTAGAAAACATTTTTAAAAGTTTAGTAGTTAAAAACTTACAGAATATTAGTAATGGTGTACCTGAAACTTTTGATAATGAAAGTTTAATAGCTTTAAAGCACTTTGATTAACTTTTGCAAATTTCTCTTCTTTGGCTGCAGTGAGCCTGTTCACAGGCCAGGGCTGCCTTTGCAACAATTATTATGCTATGAAAGACTCCTCAAATCAACCCAAGTTAAGTAGCACTGGGGAAAAAATAGTTTAATTCAAAAAAGAAGAAACCTAAAGAAAAATGAAAGATGCCTGGATGCAGGCATGACTGCCTATAATTGCTTTTGTTCTTGATGATAAAATAATTATGTTTACCAAAGTAATAGGTTCGTCTTAAGTTATTCTTACAAGTCAAACAGTAAAGAAGTTTTGATGCTGATGTTCTTGTGGTATCCTCTGATGTCAGGGAGAGTAAACTACCGTTTAACAGGAATAAATAATATGCCCTCTGACAAATACAAAATGTCACTCTCTTCTGGGTCACCATCCAGGGCAGTGTTGACAATCTGTGCAAAGAGAAGAAAGGCGAACAAAATGTGCGTTGTCCTTTACTTTATATTACTTTCTTCATTTATTTCACATTTTTTTGTAAATGGTTGGAACCCAGGTGTCACATCATAATCTTAGGATAAATAATTATGATTGTCTTAGAATCCTCCTTTATCCTGTGTATTACAGTAGTCCTAGTTGTCTGGTTTTGGTACTACAATTATTGAAGGTAGAAATAAGTGTTGTTTCCACTACCTGCCCAAAAATAAAAAAGTCACCATCATATTCTGATGGTTGCCTAGGTGCCTGTTGAAATGTCAGCAACAAGCCTGCTCTCCATTTGGAGTCACTCACAAGTGAATGGAGACCGTTATCAGGGCTACACTTACACTTAATTACACACCATAACCTAATTTCAAAATCTAAAGTTTTAGAAAATGCAAATACAGTACCAACAAGCCTAGTTCATTACTCACCATCTTTCCTCGTGTTGGTGCTGTGGTTTTAATCTCTCAATTTCTGCCTCAAGTTCAGCACAAGCTCGTTCAATTTCATAATTCTTGGAAACCAGGCCCACCCAGCTGAAAACACAAAACGATTTTGATTGTTATTCAAATTAATAATTATTAAAAGTATGCATACATCAATGATCATTCAAACAGCATACCAGAAGTTACTTATTAGGGAGCTGAACCCTTTAAGCCCTAAGAGTGATAAGCGTCAAATTTCTGCTTGTAATATCACTGCTTTATAAAACAAAGTGGTCATGAGAATTGTGGACATGATCACACAAGATGAATCTAACTGATACTTCAACAAATTCTCCCCACTACTTCTATCAGCATTTGACAAATTGAACACAGTTGCGTGAAGAAAAAGAGATCACACATGGATGCAAGAACAGATGAAACAACAGCTCTTGTGGCAAGGGCTCATACTCAGTATAAAAACATAGGAAATAAAACAAAATACAGCTGTATACACAAAACTGAAGTTAGAAGACATTGCAAACTTACCTTTGTTCCAAGTGTTGTAACTGTTCGCCAGCTTTTGTCTAGCATAAAATTGTAAACAAAATAGTGATAAAACAACGTAAATCATTGAACATTGTTCAAAACTCTCCCTTTCCTACCTCATTTTATATGGAAACAAGAAAATTGTAACCAATTATTAGTCCAACAAACCTTACAAGGTGACAAGGGAACTTAAGCAACAACGACAGCGACGGCTATGAAAAGGTCACTTAAAAAGTGAAGTTGCGCTGCTTCAAACATTGTTGCGCTTATTCCCTTGCCTTCATTTGCCCAAATGCTAGCAGTTTTTTCTGGAGCTGAATTCTAAAAGACTCTACCTAAGTGCAGGAAAAGAAGAAGAAAGTCGTCGTCTTGTGGTCAAGTCCTCCACAAAACCTCAAAATAGGCATTTCCACGTCGCACTTGTACATTGACGGTAAAGAAATATACAAAAAAGCCTGATGCACATGCAAAGTTGTTGTTTTGCTAATTAAACATATTGCATTTTTGATGCTCTCACTGATGTCTCTGTCGTCGTTCCTTAAGCTCCCTGTTAACAGAAAACCCCTTCTTAAGTACAGTATTTCTACAGTGTATGTGGTAGCATTTTCTTTTCAGAACAGACAAAAATATTTAGTGATGAAATTCCTTTACCTGTTCAGTTTTCCTTTGCCAGTTTATTTCTTGAATTTCCTTTCTGGAACAAAAAAAGAAGGCAGTTTATTTCTTTATCCCGAGGTAAGGGTCTGAAGTTTTCCTTAATGCAAAATTACTGTAATAAATATGTAATGAATATCAACTACAGTAAATCTTTGAATATTTGTATGGTGAATGCTCATGTGTCCATAATTATTAATGTGTCTTAAAAGTGTAAGAATATTACTTGATGTCCATAAGCTTCTTCTGTTGCTGAGCTAATATTCTTGTTAAAGTTTCATTGTGAATCTTCCATGCTGCACCGCCATACTGAGATAACAGCTCCAAATTTTCAATTCTGAAAAAAATACATATAGAATTAATTATTTTAGATATGCCGGGCTCTAACTGTAAAGTCATTCTAGTTACAGAGTTTTCTGTAAAAAAAGTCGTCTCTGGAGGAGTTGAGTAGAGCATTAATGCATTCCAGTTTAGGGCATCCTGTTTTTATACTAGATGCATGATCATTTGATATATGTTAATTTGTGCAATACCAAATAATAAATATTATTATTTTATAATAAAATATTATTATTATTACTATTACATGTAATTATTATTATTATTATTATTACATGTAATTTCTAAGACGTTAAAGTAACCTGTTGTGTGTCTGTCCATTTTTATACTAGATGTTTAAGTCACCTTAAGACAACTTTAACGCCTCTTGCATAAGAATGGCCAATCATAGCTCTGCATAAGAAAAGTCATCAGAATGCCCAAAAAATACCCCAAGACTGGAAATTACACGACTGTATCTCGGATAATATTGCATACCTTTCAGCCTGATGTTCCAGTTGAGCCATGGAGTTGTCAACAGCTTCCGTCCATGATGTTATGTCATGTTTTTGATTTGCAGTTGGTTGAGGAAGTTCATATCTAAAACATTCAAGATAAAAACGAATGTACCAACATAAATTGAGCAATGGAAGACTGAAGATACTATTAATGTAATCTACATATAAATAAATCTGTTAATTAAGGAAGGTTACTTCTATGTATTCAAGCTTAAAATAGACCATCAGATTTCTATCAACCTTTTTTAGTTCCAGGAAAATTATGATGTATGATCATGTGCACTAGACATCTAATTTGAGAAACATTGAAACTTTTCCGCATTCAGCCTGTTGGCATCCAAAAGTAAAATCCCATTGCTCAACATTTCTTTACACACTGTTCACACAAGTGGTTTTGAGGTTACTATCTAAAATGCACAGACATCCATTAGAACTCAAATTGACTTTTCTTGCTTATCATGTAAGTGCTTGCAAGAATAATGCCTACTTCAGCTAGTTCTGACACCATTCAACAGTAATCATAGTAATTGACACTCCTGTTATGGTGTGAACACATAAAGGCCTCAAACATATTTTTTTTTACCTTTTCATGCTGAGTAATTCCATGGCTTGTCTTTTGCTTATTCTCTCAAACTCCTTTTTCAATACCGGTGTCTAAAACAGTACACAAAAATAGCTCACTGTGAGCCAACAGCAAAGAATGATGTTCAATACTTTTGGTATATCCTTTTTGTAAAATGTAAGTAAAATATGGTATTATCCATTCCACTCAGAGCTTTTCAGGGATAATTAAAAAACTATGGAGCAATGATTTATTACCACACGAAAAAAAGCCTGTGCGCCCTTTAAATCAGCAATTTTTTGGCAAAATAAAAAAAAAATAAAGCAAAAGTACACGCAAATGAGCAGTTTGTAAATAAAGCCAACTTCCTTTTAATAGACAACTCTGTAAAGAAAGAAGTCTTACAGTAGTTAACTTGGACACTAAAAGTTGGTTGAACTACCATTCATCGGTCACTGTCTCAATGTCTTCATCCCCTATTTTATTTTATTTTATTAGCTTCACCAAAAAAAACAAACAAACAAACAAACAGAAAGAACGTTGGCCCTAATATTGACGCACAAATTTTCTACATTGATCTCTCGACATTTCCTTAAAGAATTAGTTAGGAGAATTTGATGAAAGATTCAGGCAGTTTTTCTACTCCCAGAACATTTTCTCCTGATGGATATGGGTATTGTTAAAAAAAGAATAATTATTGATGTTGGTCCCCAGGGGGTGTACTCCAAATTTCAAGTGCAAGGATGATTGAAGGATTTTTTTGGATAAGAAAATTTGGCGAGTACTTTTTTGGGTATTTTTTGTGTTATATCATTTAATGCTTTCTGGAAATTTTTAAGGCTCAGAAATCCACCGTTTGTTTGTGTGTTTTTTTTGGGGGGGGGGTTGGGTTTTGTGGGAAGCCCTTGTAATGTTTTTTAAGGTTTTGATTTTTGCCCCCATTTGATCATCCTCGTCACTTGAAATCTCATATACCCCACCTGGGTGTTGGTCACACTGGGTAAGGGGTGAGGAAAGAGTTGAGTGTAGTGAGACCCTATGAGGGAAAAATTCCAACAAGCAACATGGCCTTTAAACAGTGACATAAAGATGGATGAAATGGACACAAACAGCATAAAGACAGATTCACGATGTTCATTAGGCATCAGAGATCAGAGAATTCTCCGTTTACCACACAGAATTCTCTGACTAACGTTCGGTAGCTTATGACTATTTTTTATTCAGATGTAGCACCTCTTTCAAAATATTCTCCTGTAACATAACACCTTTCTCCTGCTACTGGGTTTCTTAACGAAAACTGTGCAGATTTTAACTGCAACAGCCACAAGAACAGTTACAGATACAACAGTAAAACACCTAAGGGGACATGGCTTCCTCTTCAATAGGCCTTTTTCAAAAATACCATAATACTCTTTATTGTCCCCCATGCCTCCATAATTCCAGTCACAAGTAGCCCCCCATGCCTTCGTATTTGCAGTTCAATAAACAATCAATCAATTTATAAAGTTCCATGCCCAGCAAGAAAGTCTTCCAGGGCTGCCAATAAGGGCCAGTAGGTGGCCAAAATGGCTGGCTAGTTAGCCATCCTTAGCCGGCTACTTTCATCTTCCTCTGTAATCTGTAGTTATGCCAAGAGGTTACCAGTCATTTCGATACAAAGTCGTTTCAATACAAGTCATTTCAATACAAGTTTTTTAAGTCGAGGTGTAAATAATTCCATGTAGTGGCTTAAAGAACAAAGAATATTCACCCAAAATCTTTTTCTTGCTCACGCACAAACTATAATTGAAGTTAACAAAATTTTTGTGCAATTTCACTGCTTGAGCTTCTATCAAAACAATTTTGTATCGAATCAATCACTTTCCTGCCAAAGAAACAAACTTTTCACCTCGAATGCATCATAATCTGGGGTTGGAAGAAAATCCAGATAATTTTTTGTTGGTCTGTAACGTCTTGTCTCTTCTTCGACCAACTGATTAACCTATTTATGAAACAAAACACAGTGTAAGATAGTAAGGAACGACACAGCGTCGTATCAGTCAGCCCTCCCATCTCTCCCTGTCCAGCTTCCCTCTAACCCTTTAAACCCTAAGATCAAAATTAAAATTCTCATTTGTCACCCCTATTCATTTACTGTAGAAGTAGTGGGGAAAAGATGATAAAATATCAAGCAAAGTCGTCTTGTGTGATCTTGTCCTTACTTCTCATGACCACTCTATTTTACAAAGCACTGCTATTACAAGGAGAAATTTGATGCTGATCACTCTTAGGGTTTAAAAGGGTTAAGGAAGATGTTGATAAAGTATTTTATTTGAGCAATACATGATTTTTAGGGGTACTCCATTTTAGGTACTCCATAGAGTGCTCCATGGAGTAGGCTCCGCGCTTTGTCCTCTCCTTTAGAGAAGACGTGCCCGCAGATGATGCTGACAGATAACGGCAATCAATCAAAATAAATGCCGGCTCTAAGAGGTGTTTACTTGTGGTATGATCAGCCCTGTGCTAACTACATGCAGCAAAATATGCGGTTGTCAAGAACAATGGATAAAAGACTCTAGATCAAATCGAACAGAGCAGGTTAACAAACGAATGGTCACGCATGTCGCGCCAATTTTTCCCCTTGAGTTTGCGTCTGACAGCGTAAACCGAAAAAATTAAACTCTAACATAGGTTTTGACAATAAGCCTACCATTTCTCTTACGCCTGGATCGTCGTATCCCTGATCAAAATACGGCAAAGCGTCTGGAGCTACCTCATGAGTTGCCGCCATGTTGGATTCTACTACCAACAATGCATTTCAAGCTTACAGGTATTGAAGGCTGCGGGGGATTATGGTTAGAAAAAATTGCTCGCGAGACTCGCGTAAATAATAGAGGACCCATAGAGGGTACATGTACCAAGATTGGCATGCCCTTCTTCTAAAGGTCCCTTTTTCTGTCTCAAAGAAATTCACACCGAGATGGATACATAAAGTATTACATTTGCCTCTTTATGACAGAAATCAATTGTCCCTATAAATCAGAAAACATTTAATGACACCCCAACTCCCACCCCCGTCACTTTTAAATTGCATTGGCAAAGATTTCCAGTCGCCCCATTTTATCAACAAATATTAAACTGGATTGGGTGCAGTCTGTAAGAATTCAAGTGTGGGAAAGTTCAGTTACTCCTGACATCACTTAAGCGAGTTCTAATAGCGATATAGTTTGAAAGGAAAACAAATCACATTAGTTTTCGTTGCCGCCGCCGTTCCATAGGCTGCAAGGTTACCACTCGTTTCGATACAGGTTTATTGAGAAAATTTATTCAGTCGAGGTGTATTACGTTTCACGTATCTGGCTTAAAGAACGAAGAATATTCACCCTAAATATCTCTCTTGTTCCGACGCGCAAAATATACTTGAAGTGTTCGAAATTTTAGTGCAATTTCACTGCTTGAGTTTGTATCGAAACGTGCGGCTACCAGCTCAGCTCAGCTGTCAGCTGCACTAAAAAAGGGGCACCCAACGACGATTTCCTCCTAAATACGTTGAAAACACTTTTTAGGTTATCTAGAGTACTTTTAGATATCTAAAAATACATTCTAAGCGGTGCTATAAAATTTGTATCTGTCAGCCTGATCTGTTCGGTCTTCCTGGGGAATTTTGAGCCTCTTCGACATTACAAGGGCTTCAGTATTCCATTCCCAAAAATTTTAGATGCAATTTATCGTTTTACGAAAGTGAGAATTTTTATGACTGTTATCTCAATCACATTTTTGAATCCAAACATTTTAGGCTTGCTTTTTCTACGAAAAACAGCATTACTTGGGGAGTAAAACGTCAAACATTAAGCTTCAGAAAATCGTAGAGAATATATTAGATAAGTTTCGAAAATTGTACATGAATGGAACAGCCATCAAGAAATTTGTAGCCGTCCTCAAGAAATAGAAAATTTAAGGAAATATTTGCTTCTCCAAACAGATATATATTTTTTACAGAAAACAGTCGTTGGGTGCCCTGTACTAAAGGCGTTTTCTTGGAGACCCTCCTTGGGTGCACGAATATTTTTGCTCGGCCTACCCCTCTACTTTCCCCAATTTTACTCGGTGAAAAAATAGGCCACTTGCACGATGGCGTCATTTTACTACTACAACCAGAATCCTTCAGGGTTTTGTTTTCTTGTGCAAATTAGGGCTTTTGTTATTCAATCCTCGCCGGGATTACCAAATTTAAATATGAAAGGAAAAACGTAAGGGATTCTGGTCCTAGTATTAAAATGACGCCATCGTGCAAATGACCCATTGAACATGGCAGCCACGGCATTACGTTCATAAACAAGCAGCTTTCGTTCGCTCAAAAAATAAGCCGTCCGTTTTGAGGCCCCTACATAATGAGAACGGTAAACGAGGGGGGATTTCACAAGCCCAACCCCTCTCCCTCTCCGCGTAGAAAAAAATTACCAAAGACAGAAGATATTCACAAGGTTTTACTATTTATTTCTAATCCAGTTGGACATTTCATGCTTTTCGCACACACACCGTGGGAAGCATGTTAAGCTATTTAAAATTGCGATTTGAAAATGTATTTAACACGAAAAAATTCAATAAATAGATGGAAATGCACTCAATGCACCCTATGTACAACTTTACATTATGAAAACTAAAATGTTTAAGTGGCAAAGACAGCGTAAATCACAATCTACAAACGATAGTAAGGAAAGGAAACCAGAAAATACAAAAACACACCTAAAGTGGCTTGGGGTCTTTGGCATAACAAATGACTTGTTCTCTGTTCGGAGGAGTTACAGCATGTTTGTTAAGATAATAAAATGAAACTGTAGGCAGTAAGCCCACCTAGCGTCTGAGTAGAAGGGAGGTTAGGGGTAACCTTGTTTAATAGAAACATCTGTGTCTTTCATATGCATAAGTACATGATTTATCAAAATAAGGTCAATTCAAGCCTTGCTTCAACTTGAGGCCAGGAGTTTCAGTAGCCAAAATAATGTAAAATGACCTATTGCGAGGAATCAAAGACTGGCTCAATATTTATGCTTGCGAGTGTGTACAATTAAATGCTATCTTCTCCTGACCCAGCCTGGCTGTAAATAAGTTCTTGTGTGAGGGTACATTTTACTGTGCATCCCTGAAATGTCCTGTCCACCTTCTCCAGTTTAAAGAACACCCTTAAGCGTGATAACCGAGGAAAATCAAGTTCCCAGTGAAAGAAATCTTTTTGCATTTCCCTAAGCCATGCCTTTTTTCCAGACAGGGAATCTACACCAACTGGGTATATAACCCACGACTCAGTCTGGACTGACAAAAGACAAAGCCTGAGGAAAGATGCAACCACAAAAAGATATAAAAGTGGTGTTTACCCCATACCAGACAGGGACTAAGACCAAATGGGTGATATTGGTATGAGTACTTAATTTATAGACTTACACTCTCCCTACCCCCACTCCCCCACCCACCCAACAGAATCTGATGGCTCTAGATAAAGGAAGTCAAGCCTTTTCCGCTTAAGTATTAACAATTGTGCCCCATACCAGACAGGGACTTAGACAAACTGGGCAATAACCCAAGACTCAGTCTGGTATGAGTACGACCTTATGCAACCATACCCTCCCTCTCTACCCCCATGCATGGAATGTAAAAGCCCTAAATTAAAGCTGTCGAGTGAAGACTTTTCCACTAAGGCATTGTTTGCCTCATACCAGACTGGGACTTAGAACAACTGGGCGATAACCCAGGAGTACAAACTTATACGACCTATAACTCCCCTCCCCACTCAAATGGAACATGATTGCCCTTGATCACGACTGTCAAGTGGAAGAAGCTAGAATATCTGAACATACAAATATAATGTAATCTCACTCAAGAGTAAGTTAACAGCCAGGCGTATCGTATAGTTAAATTAAACTGCATTTCTTCTCTTCGATTTCAAACATAAACGTCATTATCTCAGAGCAGAGAACAAGTCATTTACTATGCAGTACATAACCCAGACGATGTTGTCTTCTTATTAAAACTTTAAAATCCTTTGACATTTTATAAATTAATAGGACGACAAGATGCTTAGAGCCTGGTAAAATAAGAAACTTTGATCTGAAACATTATTGCCAATGCCCTTTAAACAACTAAAACAATTTCAAGAAGTTTTTGCTATTGAAGTCAAAAACTAAAACGATATGATTAAAATTTAAAACTCTAAAATAACTTTTTCACAACTTGCTGTATTCAATTCTCACACCACTGCAGTTTTCTTTATACATATTCCCTGAAAATAAGAGTAAAACGAACAACGTTAGTTTAACATTCCACAATTTAAGATTAACTATTACTTTTAATCCCCCTTTATTGCCTTTATTAGTCAGTTCAGGCTGGCAGCATAACGCCAAAAACAAAGTTATTGCTTATAGCCAATCGCAAACACGCACACAAGCAAAGAACCAATCAGAACTCNAACTGGGCGATAACCCAGGAGTACAAACTTATACGACCTATAACTCCCCTCCCCACTCAAATGGAACATGATTGCCCTTGATCACGACTGTCAAGTGGAAGAAGCTAGAATATCTGAACATACAAATATAATGTAATCTCACTCAAGAGTAAGTTAACAGCCAGGCGTATCGTATAGTTAAATTAAACTGCATTTCTTCTCTTCGATTTCAAACATAAACGTCATTATCTCAGAGCAGAGAACAAGTCATTTACTATGCAGTACATAACCCAGACGATGTTGTCTCCTTATTAAAACTTTAAAATCCTTTGACATTTTATAAATTAATAGGACGACAAGATGCTTAGAACCTGGTAAAATAAGAAACTTTGATCTGAAACATTATTGCCAATGCCCTTTAAACAACTAAAACAATTTCAAGAAGTTTTTGCTATTGAAGTCAAAAACTAAAACGATATGATTAAAATTTCAAACTCTAAAATAACTTTTTCACAACTTGCTGTATCAATTCTCACACCACTGCAGTTTTCTTTATACATATTCCCTGAAAATAAGAGTAAAACGAACAACGTTAGTTTAACATTCCACAATTTAAGATTAACTATTACTTTTAATCCCCCTTTATTGCCTTTATTAGTCAGTTCAGGCTGGCAGCATAACGCCAAAAACAAAGTTATTGCTTATAGCCAATCGCAAACACGCACACAAGCAAAGAACCAATCAGAACTCGAATGAAATAGAAGTACCCGACGCCAAGCGCAAAAAAACGTGCCTGCAAAACGCACTTTGACCTAAGATTTTACTCTGATTTCGACTGAGAAAGTGGCGTAAGATTTTTATAGAAAGCGTGGCCATCCAATACAAAAAAGTATATGAAATTACTGTTAAGGGGACTGGAAACCGATCTAAAAAAGATTCCAAGAACCGTGATTATTAGAGAGATACGCTAAGAGGGTTGCTTGCTGTTTAGTCATGCTTCAAAAATTTATTCGAGTGGTAAAAGTAATGGTGACAGCCATTCTAAAGATGACATGAGTCTGTCAGCATGTACCGAACAAGGTCCTTTCATAAATTTCACAATAACTTGTTTTCCGGTACATAGTGAAAGAACCATAGTCATCCAACACTGACGGGATTAACAACAAGCACTGCTAACTGCATAAAAAGCAGCTAGTTCGATGAAATTATCAGCAGATGCAGTAATTATTACTGTTCTGTATTACTTATTGTTATATAGCTGGAAACTTTCTCCCAATAGCGCGTGCTCTCATTGGTTACTTTGACGTCACATGACATCTAACAATGAAACTGTTTCAAGCCAAAATCTC